AGTGCACAACGTAATCTGTTTAAAATTTAGGTGCAAGATGCTTGGGTTAAGTTAAATTTGGACCTCCTTTTGAAAAGTTGTATTTTGACCCCAAATAACTTTTTCTGATGCCTACCCAAACTTCTTAAAAACAGAGAACTGCAGGCTTCAAAAGTATATGCACCATCTGAAGTTCTTAAAAGAAGAGTTAGATCATCTGTGACTTTTTCTGTTAAAAGGGTTCCTAATCTGGACTCCCAGAAAGTCTGGACAAAATGGAGGTTGTCCCCCGTCCCCAGGTGAGTATCTTTGGCGGCAGAAGGGCCACTAGCTCCTTCAGATTTACATACAACTTTAAGACATTTAAATTATCTGCTAGGTCCCCTTATCTTTATATGTTTATAGCTTCCTTCAGATTGTCAAAGGGATTGTTGATGGCCAAAAGGTGAAAAAGTACCATTCTGAAGGATGGTCCGTCCCTCAGATCTGCTACTCTTCATTTAACCAGGTTAGTTAAACTCCATTACAACACAGTCTCAGTAATCAGAAGAAGATTTTTGGTCAGCAAATGTTAAACTATAAACAGTTGTTTCAAACAGAATGTATTAAAAAATATTTAACCTAGAATGTTAGAGAGCTAGAAAGACAACAAACTATAGACATAAATTACAAAAAAGAAGAAAAAAAAAAAAGTGGCAAGCCGGGCTGGGCCTCTCCAGGGTAATTGCTTGGAATGCAATCAGCCCCAAGAGGTAACAGCATTTTGTAGCAATCTGCTGACAGTGTAATATAACCAAAAAGTGTGGTTAAAGGGTGATTTCAAAATATATTCTTTATTCTTTGATTCCCAAAATGTTCAGGATTATAAAAGCATTTCAAAAATACTACTGAAACAGAAAAAGAATATTATTTTTAGCACCATTTCAAAACTGGAAGCTAAATGGTGCCATTTGGGGACCAGTCCCTCCAAGTAAGGCAGTGCAGAAAGAAATGAAGCTCCAATGCATGCTGCACACTCCTGTCTCAGTTACTGTGATAGAGCTTTCCTGAGCTGATTCAATGCTATTTTTAGATTTTAAATGTAAAGTGTAATATAAATTTTATCCACTTCATTAGCTAGAATTTCAGGTCATCTACATTTTGCTGCTAAGCTGCTAATATGTACATGTTATACTTAAAATGATACCTGTGTATATAATGTTGTGTTCAACTGTTTTAACTCACATAACTGTTTTATGTGGTTTTAGTTTGGTCTGAACACTGAAGGTCTATGATGTGTTAGCTGTATGATTTTTCCAGGGCACCAAAAACTCTTGTAAGGGAAACATCACAGGATTCTTAGAATTGCCATACAGTGGAAGGCAGGAGGTTAACTGGCTTTATGAGGGGCAGTTCAAATGCTTGGGAAAAAAAAAATACACACACACACACAAAGTGCAAACTGACCCATAATCCTGCCCTTGGGGACTTCATAGTTCAACTCACAAAGGACCAGAAGGGTAAATGCCTATTATAGAGATAATACAATACCAGGGTGTTTTAAGTGAGCAACAAATCACACCCACTTGGGAGGCAGGGAAAGTAGCAGACTTTGAAAAGGCTACTACTAAGAGGCCATTTGATATTAAGATAGGATTTAGATACCAAGAAGACATAGAAAGCATTTCAAAGAAGGAACCACATGAAAAACAGACACTAATTAGGGGAAGGGTTGAGAAATTACAGTAGAGTTTGGCAAGCTCTGTGGTTCTCAATCGTCCCCTACCCCCCAAACAAACCCCATATGATGGATGATGTTAACATATGCAAACACATTTCTAAGGGCTTACACAGATTTGGCTGGATGCCTGCCCCCTTCCCCAAATTTGCGGGCAAATAAAGCACCCAACAACTCTAACTGGCATGCCGCAAGCTCTTGTAACTATGTAAGCTCCTTCCTCTTGGGGATAGCATTTACAATTCTGCACTGAAGGGAGGAAGAAAAATGATTATTTTTTCACAATCTTGGGTATTTCAGTCCTAGTAACAACAGCTGGATTCAGGTTAAGTGGGAGCGGAGTTTGTACTCAGACTTCTCATTATTCGGTTATTACCATATTGGAATCCCTGCAGTTTGCTGACGTTGCAAAGTGAAGCAAAAATCACAAGAAATAACACGCTGGCGACTCTCTCCCAGATAAAAGTATTGTCAACATCATTTATGCTCAATCAAATAAAAGTTGTAGAAGCTCAAATCATAAGCAAAGCTTCTGATTGACCAAGGTCAGGCAGTTGAAACAGTTTAATAATTGGATTGAGAAATTTCCAATAAGGTATTTTGAAAGAAATTAAGTGGGAGAGGATTAATTTTTGCAAAAAATAACTTTATGATTGTGTAAAGTCAAGCATTAAATGCTTAGGCCTGTCCAAGATGCCATTCCACATTCTTTCAGAATAATTACACAGAAAAGCCACTTGAGTTATAATAAACAAGTAATCAGTTAGTATAGTTACATTTAATGGTCTCGGTTATAATCATAAAACTTTTAAAAATTTAATTTTTTTAAAGATATTTTGATCATTCCTTCTTTTGTACCACTTACGGTAAAATTTTGGTATCCACATCAAATGGATCTACTTTAAGCGAACTTTCCTTTGCTGACAATTATCCTCAGATAATGAAGACTTCCTGTAATTTGTTAATTATGGAAAGCCACCGAGTTTCCTTTCTTTTCTGGCAGATATGGGGTTGGGTGGGCAGAGAGGTAACTAACATTTTCCTGAAATTATGCTACTTGGTGATTTATAATCATTACATTTAGTTTGGGTTGTGGACTAATTACTCTTGGGAAGGTTAACTGGTTACAGCCATATAATAATGCGACCAGTAAAGAACCTCTTGCAATAGCCCAATCAAGAGATACCATAGGTTTGGCCTAGGGTGGTAGCCCTGGCAAGGTAACAGACTTAATTCCTTGCATATGAAACTTTATTACTTGTCCTAAACCAGCGTCTAAGGAAGGGGTTTTCAAAGCTAATTTCAAGAAGATGTTCTCAAAGGACATTGGGGCATCAGGAGAAAGGGGTAGTACGGTGCTCAAATAGGGATACACGGGAGTTTGAGATGTTGGCATGATATCCAAGTGGATAAAACCAGCAGGTAGATGGAAGTATTAATTTAGAAGAATTAGTCATGTGGGATTCAGGGCAGGAAATGTTTTTCATTCTTTAATTTAGAATTGCCCAATAAACCCCCTCCCCCACAATCATTTAGCTACTGATATTTTTAGGCATGCATGAGAAAAAGCAACTATTTCCATTGTTGTAAAGGTTTTATTGAAGAAACTTGAGAATAAACACTTCATGGCTAAGTGAAAAAAGACAAACATGGTGGCTAAAAAATAATCAAAGCGAATTTAGCTGTATCCATTCAAAATACCTGAGTATCTGTTTGTAATGTTGATTTGAGGCTAGTTAAATGTGTAACTAGTTAACTTAAAATCAACTGTAATATTAAAAAGTCACCGAACTCACTTCTGAAGTATACAGCCCAAATAAAAGACATCTGCAATAAATTCTGGCCCTGTAGTGTTTATATTTAAGTTTACAAACTTGGCTGCTTCTCTACAAATAACCAGTTCTGTATTAATGCTTTGCAGCTGCCTCAACCTCTACACTCAAGTTTCCTGGGCTGTTAACATATTACTCCTTTTAGAAGGACTATATTCCCAGTTTCTACTTTCTTCTGTACATCTATTAATTCCTATCTTCAACAGTCAATACCTTACCCTAATTCACCTCATCAGTGCTAACATTTCCTTCAGCAGCAACCTGTTTATTTCTAGGTCAAATCAAAACAGACATTTGGAGTGATCCGGCTTTAGGTCTCTCTTAGATCTGGCAGTCTGGCACGATTCTCCCAGCATATATGGAATATTGCTTCATTTCCCCCTCAAAACAGAAAGGACTACATAATCCTGGATCTCAGAAGTACTTAAGAAAACTACTGCCGCCCCTCCCCCAGCACACACTGCAACATTGTAATTTACCTCTGCTTTGGAAAATGTATCTTTAAAAACGATGCTCCCAACTAAACCACTTAGCCAGTAACATTTTTGAGAAAAACAAAACATGAAACTCTTTGGGGGAGGAGTTTCTAACTCCAAATAGGCAGAGGAGCCTGTAATTATCCTAATGAATACTTTTCCAAAGAGGCCTGTAGTCGGTGGGGTTCCCACCTCTTTCTAATCTAAAACTGCTTAGACGGACCAGAGAGTGTGCAGTTTTAACAAGATACCTAAAATGTGTGCCCTTAGACGTGACGGGGACAAGCCCAAGGCAAGTTACTCGGCAGCTAGAACCTGATTCTTCTGAAGAAACAAACAAAAGTGAACTTTTAAAATATTCTATTGTCTGGTCGCCATCTGATACATCATCACGGAAGGAATAAGGAAAATAACAGAGTGATGGAGAAAAGAGGGAAAAAGAATGATACTGCAAATTTCACTAGGCTAGAACTCTTCCAGTCTTATGATTCCAGCATGGCCCGGCTACTGATACAATCTGGCTGTATTTTTCCAGGCTGCTACTTTGGCAGGGCTGGGATAAATGAATTTCACGCTCAAAGGAGTCACCTCTCCCCTTTTTGTCGGTTTCCCCCCAATTTCTCTCTCCCTTCTACCTTCAAAGTCGAACTCCCCAGGAGCGGACCGACAGGATTCTCTCCCTCTCTCTCATAATCCTCCTCCACGAACGAAGAGGTGCCATTCCCCCTTTGCAGATGCTTCAACCACTGCACTCCCATGAACAGGTAACTGAGGTGTTTCCTGCTTTCTCTACTCCGAAGAGCCCAAGCTCTTCTACACCAGTCTCTGGTTTTCTCTAAACTGGCCCTCCTTTCCGCCCCCTCGCTTTCCGGGACTCGAGCCCAGTCCGCAGACTGGGACACGCGCGCGCGCGGCTGCCCGCACGCACCAGCTGTGCTCCCTCCCTCGTCCCCAAAGAGGGGATTGTACATGATTGGCCCGCGCCCAGTTACCTACTCCAAGGTGTGGGGTGAAGGGGAGGGTACTCCTTTGGGGAGGGGGACGAGAGAAGAAAGCACGAATCCGAGGCAGCAATCTCAGAAGACCGGGTGCTACTGCTTCAGGGACAGCCGCACCTCGCGGTGATAAGAGGATGTGCACTCGGCCCCTCCCGGCACCCGTAGAATCCCCCGCCCGTAACCTCCCCTGAAGTAATTACCTTCCGGGGCGGTGCCCGTCTTAGAATCCCCTTCTTAACACTTCCGGAATTCCTTTTCCGGGACGCGAACGCTTTGTGTGTGTTTGTGCGTGTGTGCGTGCATGAGTCAATACTAAAAGGAGTCCCTGCGATTCTCCTCGCTCTCTTTTCTGCTACCACCTCCTTACTTTATGGACCGGAAGAGTCCTTGAGCCAAAATAGCTCGGCGGGTACTTCCGGGACGGGAGACCTGGGTTCCGGAAGGGTGCTGGAAGGAGAGGGAGAGGCGGCGGCGGCGGCAGCTGGAGGATGAAGAAGGAGCATGTGCTGCACTGTCAGTTCTCCGCCTGGTATCCACTGTTCCGAAGCCTTACCATCAAGAGGTAACACAGGAGGGGTTTTGTCGGGGCGATAGGCAAAAGGGAACTGCGACATTTTGGGCGAGTCCTAGCTCCATCCAAAAAAAAAGAAAAAAAAATTAAATAAATAAATACAAAAATGCAGGCCTTACAGCGATTGGACGGGAGCGCCAGTGCCGAGATTTCGACTTCCTAGTGGTATTTCAGTGGGGGGGGATTAATGAAGTCGATCCTTGTTTTCTGTGCCTCGTTGCGTTCAGGGGGTGTGCTAAGGGAGGCAGAAGGGCATGTCGTGGTTCAGTGAAGGTCAGAGGCGGGGTGACTGGGGGATTAAGCTAGTTCAAGGCTTGGGAGTTCACCATCACTGCTTTTAGAATTGCCAGAGAGGGGACGTGATCAGGAGAACTGGGTAGTCTGGACTTTTGCCACTGACCCCGGTGGACTTAATTGCTTTCAGTCGCTGTGAAATAAGAACAGTGATAGAGACCCTACCTGAAATCCTGTTGCGAAGCTCCCATAAGACAGTGTGCATGGAAAGCGTTAGTGTAGTTATATATTGTTAGGGTTGGTAATGTACTGTGAGAGGAAGCCATTCCTGGAAAAGGAGTAGAACAGTATTTGTTTTCTATTTCTCTGGCCTACAACAGGGAATCCGTCCCTGGTTTGCAGGTCAAACGGAGGAGTAACTGTTTCATCCTTCACGGGGTCATTCAAGGTAATAGAGGCAAGGCAGCTAGGAGAATACCCCCAAATGTTCAACAGCAATCATAACATCTGGAGAATGATGAAGGAGGAGGCTTTCGCTCACTAAGAGGGATAAATCAAAGAACCGCATGTTCATGAACAGGATGTTCTGTATTTTGCCTGGTCACCCTTTAGGCCTAGATTATCACGTATTTAGGTATCAACTGTCCTTTTCTCATTTTGTCCTCTTGGTGCAGGGTGTGAATATAGAGAGGGAAATGGTTTTGAAATCCTGAGGGATTGGAAGAGCATAAGGAGATTATTCAGAGGGCAGTTCTTTTCCATCCTGTTAATTCATACATAGAATCTGCTTTTAGTTGGAGGTTAGAGCAGCTCAAAGGAAGATAGATCATCCTTGCATTTGAAGGTGGTTGAAGTCACACCAAAATAAAAGGAAGAGCTTCAACAGCAGCAGTGGACAGTACATCCTAACGTAGAAGTTATCTTCCCTTAGGATATGCCAGTCTTCGTTACCTTGTGTAATTGAGATAGGCTTTGGGTCTGAGATGATGCTAGAGTTATTTGTGTTGGTGTAAGATAAGGTATATTGTGAACCTGCCAGACATTTCACACTGTTCACTTGAACTGCAATTTGTGTAGGTGCCTTTTGCAACCTCTAGCATAGTTTTCCTTTGCCTTCAGCTGTAGAGCACAGTTAGGTTCTGGAATCAGGGCCATCTGCCTGGCTTTGAATTTTGGTTCCACCAGCATCTTGAGCAAATTGCTTAATCTCTCTAAGCCCCATCTGGGAATTTGAGAAAATAATAGGATTGTCATGGGAATTAAATGAGATAAAACATTTAAAATGCTTGCCTCAGTTTCTGGCACGTAGTAGACATACAGAAATGCTGCTTGTTGTTACATTTTGGATTTAATCAAAGCTTCTTTGAAGCAAAATAATTTTAGAATGTGTACCATTCATTGGAAGCTGAGAATGAAAAATAAACCAGGAGGTGGGATTTTCTGAACAGTCCACAACTCAACTGTGTGGCCTGAAACTGTTCTTTACTCTGTCTTTAAACTCTTTCTTCAGTCTGTTTAGTTCTGTGGTGCTATCACTGGAACCTCACATATGACAGGATATCCATCCGTAATCTGGGCCAATCCGGTGGGGTTGTGTTAGCTTTGTCATTGTCATTGTCACCTTTAATGCTGAGATCATATTCTTGTTATTGACTCAGCATTATTTTTCAGTGTTTCTTAATCATGGGTCAGAGATGATTAGGTGGGGAAGAATACAAGTTTACTTTTTGACAAGTTCTAGAACTTTGAATCAGGCTTAAGAATCATGAGCTAGATGACTTTGGGCCCCTTTACCTTTCTAAATCTGTTACTTTCCTCAAACATAAAGGCTATATTAAGTAATCTTTTAAAGCCTGTTTTTGCCTTTAAAATTGTATTAGAACAACTTGTTCTCTATGTGCATAATTATATTCACTTGAATAGGATATGGAATAGGATGTTGAATATATAAGATATCAAGTAGGATATAGAATGGGATAGATACTTTGTCATTTAATTCTTTTACATCTGTCAGTCAGGCCTCCTTGGATTCTTACCTGCACTTGGATTTCAGCAACCGATTTAAGCTCTTCTCTGACGGCCTCGTTAGCTTTGTGTAAAGCTTGCCTGGCGATGACTTGTTTATGGCCTCAGTCTTTCAGGCACGGTTCCTCTTCTGAATTTTGGTAGCACTTGGTACATCCTCACCTGGGACAGCATTTAACATGTTGTACTGTGATTTTTTCTTTTGTACTTTTCCCCCCGTCATAGGTTTTGAGTTCGTAATGGAATCACTTTGGTATCCTCCTTGACTTACATAACGTAATGCACGATATTCTCACTAGGATGACTGCATAACTGGGACTGTAGAACTCAGTTACCCGTGAGAAGTAAGCAGAATCTAACTTGACGTCAGCTAATATCTTTTAAGAGTTGAAGACCCTCCAGTAGGAAGAATATGCAAAGAATTCAGAATAGAATCCAACAGTAAACAGATGTTTTGAATCCAGTCAAGGGGTGATGCAACCTGGAGGGAAAGTACAGATTCAGAATCAGACTTGAGAATTAGTGTAACTCAAAAACAAGGGACCTGGACTCTGAAATCATCGATTTGGGGCTTAGAGACATGACTAAGGAAACAGGGCTCTGTGTGTTCTCGGTGTTGTCAGGAAAACCACCCTAGATGTCTGGGAACTGGCATCACTGCCAGCATTTTCAGGCTCAGGCCCCTGAGAAGATAAACTTCAAAAATTCTCTTGGAGAATGAATAAGAAAATTTTTAAAGTTTTTAGGTAGTATTGGAATGCGTGTAAGAACCTTAGATTGACTGCACTTTATGGTTTAGTTTGCTGGCTTCATTACAAGGTAAATATTTGGGAAGTCTTGTTTGTGATTGGACAATTGACATATTTAAAAATAAAATTGAATAGATTCTTTTGATAAAGGAATTAAAAATTTTAGAGCAACTTTTAAGTTTCAAAGGCTTACTTGAAATTGGTTAAAATTTAGCAGATTTACAAATAGAGTAGTAAGATCTGGTGGTTGACCTTAAAAGCCTGAAGGACTAGGCTTTTGAATGTAAAATTGTAAATTTGATAGATCAGCTATTAGTCTTTAAAACTGAAATAGCCCATGAATAATGTTTTCTGTGCACAAAAACCATTTTTAATATGCCAGAAAATAAGTAGATGATGCATAAGTCGATGACATTCTCTTGACTCTGTGAAAGCAGGCCATCATTTCTTTTCACTTTTTAAAGAATATATGCCTCGGGGCGCCTGGGTGGTTCAGTTGGTTAAGCAACTGCCTTCGGCTCAGGTCATGATCCTGGAGTCCTGGGATCGAGTCCCGCATCGGGCTCCCTGCTCAGCAGGGAGCCTGCTTCTCCCTCTCCAACTCCCCCTGCTTGTGTTCCTGCTCTCCCTCTCTCACTCTGTCAAATAAATAAATAAAATCTTTAAAAAAAAAAAATATATGCCTCAAAATAATAGCATTGCTTTTATGTACCTGTGGCAGAATTGCTTGATGATTTATTATTACAGAGTAAAAAAACAAATGATCCCATGAGATTTTGAAATGACTTTCAGTTATGGCTTTGCCATCCCTTAATTATCTGAAACAAAGTAAACTAACACAGCTTTATAGCTCTGGCAGTCAGTTGAAAAGAAGGCCACCAAAACACACCCCAGACACATCATGAATTCTTAGCCTTTTGTGCTCATTGGCAACCAAAGAATGGTTTCCAGATCTTAAGTCCGCCTCTGCCCTCTATCTAAGAAGATGGTCAGATGCTGTTTCTGCTTTGTTTGCTACATTTCCTGTGTTGCTGCAAATATCTGCTGGTATCTGATTTCTTAAAGACACTCAATTCTGTTGCGCTAATGCCTTTCATGCTCTAATTTCAGTATGGTCCTTTGTAGTTGGCTGGTTTTGTGTCTCTACCATGACTGTGGTAATACATGAGCCGAAGTTAGTTTACCGCAGGATTTATTCATATTATTCTAATTTTTAATGTGCTGCTACCAACTGTACATCATTAACATTTCCCACTTTATATTAAAAATAAAAGTATTTAAAAAATTAATTGAGTTTGGATTTTTTTCTCTCTGCTTATGGTTGGTCTTTTAAAATGATGCCTTTTTGGTAAATGCCTTTTTTTTTTTTTTTAAAGCGTCATTCTTCCACTTCCTCAGAATGTGAAGGATTATTTACTCGACGATGGAACTCTGGTGGTTTCAGGAAGGTAAAGTATACCAGAAAAAATTCTTGAAACTTTATCATGAAGAAGTGTTGTGATGATTGAATCTCAGCGATTACCATGTAAAATAAATACATTAGCTTTGGAACCATTCTCTCCCGTTTTTTTTCCTAGCTAAAATTATGTCCTGGTCTTTGTCCTGTATTTCTTGTCAATGCTGAGTTAATAAGATTCAGAATTGGGTACTTCCTCCTCTTGTAGTCACTGGTTATGAAATTGGGCAGTTCCTGTCATCTTTTCCTTGAGAAAATGGGTATGATGATAACTCTACCGTCTGGAGGTAGGGAGAGGGTGTCAGGGGGAGGAGGGCATGGTATGATCCTTTGAGATCCTTCACCTTTTTTTTTTTTTAAGTTTATTTAAGTAATCTCTGTACCCAGTGTGGGGCTCAAACTCATGACCCTGAGATCAAGAGTTGCAGGCTCTTCCGACCGAGCCAGCCAGGTGTCCCAAAATACTTCAGCTCTTAAGATAAAAATTAATTGTCCATTACAAACAGACAGCTTCACTAGGTGTATCATGTAATTCCTTAACTTTTTCTTCCCCGTGGTTAACCCCACCTCTACCTTCTCTGTTCATGTAGTTCCTCTGTTCATAAAGGGAAAACATTGCTATGCTTCAGTCTTTTTAGTGCAAACTTGAAGAAGTTTAAGAATCATAGAATTTAATGAAGTTCCTATTTTTTCATTCAGGTTTCTGCTCAGAGTTCATGTCACCTAAGTGCTCATCCCTCACGTGCCTTTCTAAAATAGCCTAACAGGAACCCTTGCTGTACTGTACTCCATTTTTGTAGGATTCTAGGTTGGAAATCATTTTCCCTTGGAATTATTACAAAAATTTTTTATTATGGTAAAATACACATAGCGCAAGATTTACTATCTTAATTATCTTTTAAGTGTACAGCTCAGTGGTACTAAGTACATTTATAATGTTGTGCAACCATCACCACCGTCCACCTCCAGAACTCTGTTCATCTTGTAACAAAGCCGAAACTCGGTCCCCATGGAAACACTGACTCCCATTCCTCCTCCTGCTGGCCCCTGGCCACCACCATTCTACTTTCTGTGCCTGTGATTTTGAGTACTCTCAGTACCTCATATGAGTGGAAGTGGAAGTGTGCAGTATTTGTCCTTTTATGACCAGCTTTATTTCACCAGCGGGATATCATCGGGGTTTGTCCATGTTATGGTGTGTGTCAGTTTCCTTCCTTTTAGGCTGAATACTGTTCCATGGTGTGAGTGGGCACATTTTGGTGCTTTACTCTTCACCACCTTGCCTCACTTCATTTTTCTGCATAATACTTCTTTCTATCTGACATAATTCCCATAACTGTCCAGGTATTAGAATGCCACTTCATGAAACTGGGACTTGGACAGTTTTGTTCCTAGCTCTTGGAGCAGTGCCTGACACATAAGAGGTGCCTGATAAGACATTTGTTGGATGAAGGAACTTAGAAATGTAATTAGAATTGTATGTGTTGGGCGCCTGGGTGGCTCAGTTGGTTGGGCGACTGCCTTCGGCTCAGGTCATGATCCTGGAGTCCCGGGATCGAGTCCCACATCGGGCTCCCTGCTCAGCGGGGAGTCTGCTTCTCCCTCTGACCCTCTTCCCTCTCATGCTCTCTGTCTCTCATTCTCTCTCTCTCAATAAATAAATAAAATCTTTAAAAAAAAAAAAAAGAATTGTATGTGTTTTCAATAACACTAATTTTTTTAAAGATGTATTTTTATTTTAGAGAGTGCGTGAGTGGGGGGGCAGAGGGAGGGGGGAGAGAGTCTTAAACAGACTTCACGTTGAGCAGAGAGCCTGATGTAGGCCTTGATCTCACCACCCTGAAATTATGACCTGAGCTGAAATCAAGAGTCAGATGCTTAACCAACTGAGCCACCCAGGCGCCCGACAGTAATGCTAATTTTAAAACCCTGCCCCCTTTTCTTGTCATGCATTTTCTGTGTAGCTTTCTGGATTATATTTCTGTTTTTGGTATTCTCAGCCTCATAATAACTTGAAAATTATTAATGGAGAGCCTCATTAACTTGGAATAATTACAGGATAAGGAAACAGAATAGTCAGCCAAGACTCAACTTGGGGATACTTAAAGACATAATTTTATTCTCAAATATAGAACAATAATGAGGTCATATAAATGGGTCTATAAAGAAAATAATTTCTAACATTAGAAAGTACTGTAAGCATACTGAAGAGCCCCTGTGGTGGTTTTCATTGGCCAGATGTTTGTGGGAGCTTGTGGCTGGTCCTGTTAAATACTGTTGAAGGGCTCTGTGGGGTGCTCTGCTTCACGGGGATGCACCGATCAGAGAGGGGCCCCGCCCTTTTGGAGTTGATGGTTCAGCTTCCTATTTTGTGGGAGTTGATACAGCATAGTGCTGGTCCTCCAGTCCCACTGCCTACTATCAGATCATATCTTTGTAATTTCTCGTGTTCTGTGCCTCATTTTCTCTGTCTGTAAATGGGGTGACTGATGTCCTAGAACTTACCTTGGGTTGTTACACAGATGAAAAGAGATCATGTGTAAAATGTCTCACCCAATACTGTTATTGTATGCTATTAGGAAACATTAACTGCACTCACCATCATCATGGATCTCAGTCTGAATATTAAACAAGCACACCAGTAAAGGTGTAAGTGGAAATTGTGATGAGACATTAAATCATTGGGGGTGGGCTGGCTAAGGATTGCAGGGAATACCTGGAAGAAGTAACTTAAAAGAGTCTCTGAGACAGGAAGTTTGGGTGGAAGGTAGTCAGGTGATGGGTGGAGGGAGGAATCTTCAGGCTGAGGGAACAGCATTAGGGAGGGCTCTGAGGCGTGGAAGGTCTTGACCTGCAGGACACTACAAGGGGGTCATGTGGCTGGAGTGTGGAGGGCTGAATGGTGAATAGTTGGTTGCTGCCATGGGGGAGGTGGTAAGAGGGTGTGTGGGAGTCCTGTTGAAGATCCTAGAATGTATTCTGAAGTCAGTGGGAATGCAATGAAGAGCTCTGAGCAAGAGGGTGACTTGAGCAGATTTCAGGTTTTGAACTAGGACCGGTTGCCATGTAGATATTGAAGACCAGTTAGGGGGATACTGCATTGGATCCAATGTGAACTGACAGTGGCTTGAACTATGGTGGTGACCCTGGAGGGGGAGAAGTGAATGGATTTGAGATGTCTTGGAGCTGCACCTTCAGAACCTGGTGACAGAGAAGGAGGTGGTAAGAATCACCCTCTCATTTCCGGCTGAACAGCTAGATGAATGAAGATGTCATTTGCTCAGGCTGAGAAAGGCCTTTGATTTGAAAAGGGTAGTAATTTTTTAAAATTAATTAATTTATTTAAGATTTTATTAATAAGAGAGAGCAAACGAGAGCAAGCACAAGCAGGGGGAGTGGCAGGCAGAGGGAGAAACAGGCTCCCCACTGAGCAGGGAGCCCGATGCAAGACTCGATCCCAGGACCTGGGATCATGACCTGAACCAAAGGCAGACACTTAACCGACTGAGCCACCCAGGCGTCCCTGAAAAGGGTAGTAATTTTAGGTTGGATTCCTTTTTTAGGTAAAAACTTGAAAATTATAGGTGTAATTTAAATGAGGGACATTTACAAAATGCACAGATCCTGAGTGTAACGTTTGGTGAGTTTTGGTGAATACATACACCTGTTTCATCACCTTCTCCATGAAAAATACCAAACATTTCTATTCCCCAGGAAAATCCCTGCTGTCCCTTTTTGGCCAATCCTGCCTACCTCCCCCCGCCCCACCCCAGACAAACACTGATCTGATTTACATCTTCATACCTCAGTTCTGCCAGTTCTAGGACTTCATGTTAAGTGAAATTGTATAGTATGTATTTTGTGTCTGGCTGCTTTAACTCCACATAATGCTTTTGGGATTCACCTGTGTTGCTGTGTTTCATTGCTAAGTAGCTTTCTTCAAATGCGTCTTCTTTTTTTCTTTTAAAGATTTTATTTCTAAGTAATCTCTACTTACTCCAACTTAAAACCCTGAGATCAAGAGTCCTATGCTCCACCGACTGAGCCAGCCAGGTGCCCCTAAATGTGTGTTTTTAAAGCTCAGTGTTCGTGTTTTGTGTGTGGGCTTGGTTGTGTACCCCTCTTAGTATATTCCTTGCTATCCTAATCTTTTTTTTTCTTAGAGTCAATGGTATTTCATGTCATTTTATATCATTTTATTTTTTTATGTATGAATATTTATTTTTTTTTAAAGTTTTTATTCAAATTCCTGTTAACATACGGTGTAATATTAGTTTTAGGTGTATAGTGTAGTGATTCAGCGCTTCCGTACGTCACCCGGTGCCCATCCTGACACGTGCCCTCCTTAATCCCCGTCGCCTAGTTCACCCATCCCCACCCACCTCCCCTCTGGGAACCATCAGTTTGTTCTCTATTGTTAAGAGTCTGTTTCTTGAAAAAAGATGGTTAGATGCCTCAAAGTAGGTGGCAGTGCCTTAACCATATGTGTGTTGTTAGGCCTGAGAGTCTCTTCCATCCTTGTAAAGGGGAGTGCTAACCTTCTCTCAGTTCATACAGCACTTGCTGTCTTAATCTGTTTGACCTTCCAGTGAAGAGTGGGTGAATAAAAAAATAAGATGAGAAGACCCTATGGAGCTTTAATTTACCCAAAAATAATGTCATTTAACCTAATCTAAGCGGGTATTGGTTAACAGTTTTGGTTGGGGTGACCTTGGAGAACAAAACAACCTCCGAGTGATTAAAATCTAGACTCACTAGTCACAATATCAGTCATCACTTATTGATCCAAGGTATTGATCAACAGAGCAAGTTACCCTACAGATAACAGCACAATCCTATTCTAGAGTTCATATCAGCAATAGGACTCAGGGCCTCGGATCAGGACATCCTAATGGTTTCCATTTGTTCAGCAATTAAAGTCCTACATGATCTGGGTTCAGGCCAGAGTAATCCAGGTTGGTTTCTATCAGTAATTTCTCCCTGAGTTCAGAT